CTTGGGCGTATCTTGGGGGCATGTTGGGCCATGTTGGGGCGATCTTGGGGGGCTCTTGGGCATCTTGGACGCTGTGAACCTCCGAACGTCGTCTATGCCAGAAGTGCACGCGTTCCGAAGGAAATGAAACGATTTTTGCTTGGTGGGGCCCTCTTGGAGGGCCTCTTGAGGCTATCTTGGAGCTTCTCGGCGGCGTCGAGGGCCGTCTGGAGACCATCATAGGCGCCTTGGAGCAATCTTTCGGCGACTCGGGGCACCTTGGACCGTCTAGGGGGCGTCTCGGAGCCTTCTCGGGGCGTTCCTGGAGCGCTTTGGGAGCCGTGGAAGGCAGCGCCGAGGAGGAAAACCATCTCTGAGCCGCCCTGGCCGGGACCTGCTCGGGGTGCTTTTCGTCCGGGAGCCCCCAGAAGCCGCCCCGCGCGCGCGAACTAGAATACATTGTGAACCAGTGACCAGATATCTTAGCACGCCTCTGGCCCGGTGGGCCGGCGAATGGGAGTGCGAGCGCAGAAGTGTTTGTCGATCATTTATTGTCGCCCCCTCCGTCTCCGAACGTAGCCTTCGGCTCCCAAGATCAACCGGGGAGCTTCCGTAGCCATTTTGGCTCAAGCACGACTGGGTCGGTCGGCTGCCCTTCGTGCGACACATCGCAAGATTGTTGCCCCGAGCGGGCAAGCAGGGCACAACAACATGGCTGGTGACGGAGAGCTGCTCAAGCTAAAGTCGTCGCAGGGCGAGGTCTTCGAGGTGGAGCCGGAGGTCGCCTGCATGTCGACGCTGATCAAGAACATGGTGGACGACAGCGGTACCGACGAGGAGATTCCGCTGCCGAACGTGAAGACGGCGATCCTGAGCAAGGTCCTGGACTATTGCAAGTACCACAAGGACAACGCACCAGAGGAGATACAGAAGCCGCTGAAGAGCACCAACCTCGAAGAGTGCGGCGTCTCGGAGTGGGACAGCGAGTACGTCAGAATCGAGCAGGAGGAGCTCTTCGAGCTCATCCTAGCGGCGAACTACCTCGACATCAAGAGCTTGCTGGACCTCACCTGCGCGAAGGTAGCCTCCATGATCAAGGGCAAGAACACGGAGGAGATCCGCAAGCAGTTCAACATCGTGAACGACTTCACCCCGGAGGAGGAGGCGCAAGTGCGCGAGGAAAACCGCTGGTGCGAAGACGCCTGAGCCCTACTGATGGGCTTGGAGGGTCCGCGGCATGATCCTGTCGAGGCGAGCGTCGACAGGCCCGGGGTGTTTGAGAATCTTTGCGTTTCACGCCTCTTGCGTTCTTGCGGTGCCACGGGCTTCGTTCCTTGACCGGAGCAGGACCGGAGCAGGGCGGCGAGGAGGGACCGCCGGACGACGGTGGTTGCGAGGCTGTGTTCCCTTTGAGCGGGCAGGCTGGGCGCGCGGAACAGGGGAAGGGCAGGCAAAGTCCGCGCGGTGCCGTAGTAATTACAGCATGCAGTGTCTCGCTGTCTTCCGCTGCTTTCGTGCTCTGAGAGCGTCCTGCAAACTGGACCAGAAAAAAAAAATCAAAGGCAGCAGCGTGGAATAGGGATTCCCCGCTGCAATGTCCCGGCGGAGAACCGCGGGCCACGCGGGGGCTCGTCGTCGGGCCCTCCGCCAGTGGCTCCTCCTTCTTCTCCTTGTCGTCCCCCGCCCCCTGCCCCCCCCCAGCCCATCCCCCTGCTGTTGCTCAGTCTTCCTCCTCGCCCTCGTCGTCGTCGTCGTCGTCGTCCTGGTCGTCGTCGTCGTCCGTCGCATCGTCGTCGGTGGGTCGTCGGGTCAGGACGGGGTGGCCTGGGGGGGGGGTCCCCCTCCAGTTTGCCGCGGGATTGTCGGCGGCATTTAAAACATAGAAGGAGGAGGAGGAGTGGAGGAGGAAGGCGAGGAGGAGGAGGATGAGGAGAAGGTGGAGGATGCGAAGGTGGAGATATTTAGGATTAGAGGAGGAGTAGGACGAAGGGGGAGGGGGAGGGAGGAGAGGAGTAGGGGCTGGGGGGAGTATTATTCGGATGATGTACTGGAATGAGGGGGGTGAGGAGCGTGAATTAAGGGAGGAGGTGATCACGGGGGGGAGGATAGTACCATGTGCGGGAATGAGGAGGGCGAGGGGTGGTGCTGTTGGGCGGCGTACGCATGCGCCCAGGGACAACATCAGAAAAGCAAAAGAGGACAAAAAGGAGAAGGGATGAGGGGGAGGAGGACGGACAGGAAATGCAGGAGGAGGTGGGGGAGGGGGAGGGGGAGGGAAAGGGGGAGAAGGAGGAGGAGGAAGGCGAGGAAGAGGAGGAGGAGGAGGAGGAGGAGGAGGAGGAGGAGGAGGGAAGGAGGAGGAGAAGAGCCAGGGGGAGGGGGAGGGGGAGGGGCAGTGGGGGGGGTACTAATAGGAGGGGGGGAGGATGAGGAGGAGAAAGAAAGGAGGAGGAGGCGGAGAAGGAGGAGGACGGAGGACGGAGACGGGAGACGGAGGAGCCGGAGGACGGAGACGGAGGACGGAGGACAGGAGGGGGGGACGGAGGAGGATGGAAAGCAGAAGATATGGAGGAGGAGAGGGAAGACGGAGGAGGAGGAGGAGGAGGGGAAGGACTCGAGGGAGTCCTGGGGGACGGCCGGGGGTGCTGCCCGCGCCCCCCCGGGCCGCCCCCCCTTGCAGGAACGGGCGGCGGCGGCAGCGCGAGCCCCGGCGGCCGGGCCGGGAGCATGCGGGTCCGGGCTGCGGAGCTGTGGGAGGCGGTGGCCGGGAGGAAAGAGGCGGCGCCTTTGCGCGGCATCGCGGTCTCCTCCTCCTCCTGCCGACTCCTCCTCCTCCTCCTCCTCTACCTCCTCCTCCTCCTCCTCCCCCTCCTCCTCCTCCTCCTCCTCCTCCTCCTCTTCTCCTCCTCCTCCTCCTCCCCTCCTCATCCTCCTCCTCCACCTCCTCCTCCTCCCCCTGCCCCTCCCCTTCCTTCTCCTCCGCCTCCTCCTCCTCCTCCTCTGCCGTTTCCTCCTCCTTCCTGCCCTCCTCCTCCCCCTCTCTCTCTCCTTCTCCTTTTTCTCCAGTCCTGTTCCTTATGAATGGCTCCTCCCTGTCGCACCCTGAGGCCAGCCGGAAGGGCGGGCCGGGCGTTGCGCGTGAGACTTCCTTGCCATTGAGGAGCCTGAGAGTTGACAACAGCTTCACAGATAGAGGGCGGGTCGCTTCCAAAATGTGGCTCTCGCCTTCGCGCCGTGCGCATTCGTTGTTAAAGCCTATGAGTTGCACGTATGGAGGACGGGTCGTAATGTGGTTCTCGCCTTCGCGCCGTGCACATTTGTTTCAGTCACTTGCAAGAGCCTCACGGATTGAGGGCGGGTCGTTCGCAACATGTAGTTCTCGCCTTAGTGCCATGGATTTTCGTTTTAAACATGTGCAAGAGTCTCACGGACTGAGGGCGGGGCCTTTTGAAAATGTGGTTCTCGCTTCAGCGCCGCGCACATGCCTTTCAAACATTTGCAAGAGTTTCACTGAATCTCATGGCTAACCTTCCAGACATGGCTTACCAGCCTCGAGCGTATCCCTATCCCTAAGATTGACACGCCAAAAGGCGATGGCAATCTCAGGGATTCGCCCTCAAAAAATATGGGGATCCCTAAGACTGCCATCGTGATGAGGAGGTGCCCAGCATAGGGATAGGGCTATGTTCCGGGCTGGTAAATGGCATGCTGGAGCGACTCAGGGTTGCCAGGGCGCAGCAGTTACGTGGACTCGCGGTGCTGGAGTCCCAGGCGTTCTGGCTCGATGCAGGATCGTCACGACGCAACAGTCGGGTTGACTCGTGGCGTTGAAGTCCTGAGAACGGTGTTTGGCACGCGTCACGATTTCCACACGGTGGACCCCCAACGGGACATTTCCGCCAGTGGAAATGGACCGCTGTAGGGGCTTATTAAGAGGGAGCTTGAGGGGGGGGAAGCGTGCATTCCAACATCGTTGATGACTTTTTCGCGTATATCGGTCCTCCTCCCCTCTTCCTCCTCTCCTCCTCCTCCGGTTCCTCACTTAAATATCACGCGTGGGGACCAGAGAGTCAGTGCGGGAATGCCCATTCATGTCTCATGGATGTCTCAGGGATGTTCGCCGCTTGCCGCCTGCATCTTGATTCTGCCCCACGCGGAGTGGCTAGGCACCACGCAGCGGCCGCCCTTGGGTGGTTGGCGCAGAGCGCTTAAGGGGGCGATCTGGCGCCCATTCACCGAGTTCGGCACAAACCCGCGCTCGCCACTGCAAGGAGGAGGAGTACGAGGAGGAGGATGGGAAAGAGGAGGAGGAGGACGAGAAGGAGGAGGCATAGGAGGAGGAGGAGGATGAGGAGGAGGAGGAGAATTAGGAGCGGGGGGCTGGACACCGCGTTTGCTTCCCCTTTGTTCCAAGGTCGGGGCAGCGCCACCCGCCTTGGCAATCGCGGGCGAGTCGGCGAAGAGAGGCGTGGGTTCGGTGGCGGTCATCGCGAATCGCAACAATCGGCCAGGGATGCATAAGGACCTGAAGGCGAAGGTCATGAAGCACGAGCTGGAACACGGAGGTGTGCCAGGTCACGATGTTCGAAGGAGGGAAGGCGGACACCGTCGCAACGAGGGAGGTCACAAGCATCTGCGCCCCGTGGGGCTTGACAAGCGCACGGGTGGGAGCACGGAGGAGTGCCAGGACTGACTGGCCCGCCGCTTCTTTGCCCTCCGAGCCTCAAACAATAGACAACGAGCCGATACACTGGAACGCATCCCATTTTTGTTGGAGGTTGCCTGCAAGAGGGGGAAGCGCCAAGAATCCAGCTATCTACGTGCGCGAATCAGACAGAGAAGTGGTCTCCGCGCCAGCGTCAAAACCCGCAGCACGGAGGAGTTCCGAAGGGGGGAAGGTGGACACAGCCACGGCGAGGAAGGCCAAAGGCCCGCGCCACGTGGAGCTACGCGAGAGCGCGCGCCCGCCGCCGAGCAGCGGCGCGCGCTCGCCGCCTCGCGGGAGCCGGCCGAGCTTCCGCCGGCGCAGGTCTTCGGAGAGGGAGTGCCTGCATTCACGCAGTGTGGCGAAGCGTCCTTGCGTGCCTACAGGCCTACCAAAGAATGTCCAAAGAACCTTCTATGGTTTGCACGGAGTGGTCTTAGAACCTTTTTGGATGGGGCTGTCTTGTTCTAGATACATCGGGTTTCTGTTCTAAGAACACTGTTTGTGTTCTTGGAGCATATCTGGGTTCGAAGAACATTTCGTGGTGGGCCTATAGGAATGCAGGGACGGTCGGTCCCTGCTCAATTGAAGACCTTGTAAGTGCGCACTGCTTGGGGAAAAACTGACGGCGCCCGAAGGGACAATGTCTGCGCGCCCCAGGAGTATACACCACCACCCACCACCTCCGTTCCTCCTCCCTCCCCCAGCCTCCTCTTCCTCTCCTCCTTCCTGGGAGAGGGAGGGGGTAAGAGAGAGGTGGGGGAGTCGGGTATAGCCAGGACCCCAGGTAAGGGGACCCGGTTAGTAGTAGGGCCCTGGAGCCCTTAAATGTGCCAGAATCACGAAACCAGGTCTGCCGTGGCTGGTGTTTTTGCGGGTGGCGGCGATTCCGGTCAGTGGAACGGGTGGGGGGGGGGGGGGCCTCCCCCAGCACACATCGCTCAACCAGGCCCCACGAATCCCAGTTCTGCCAACGCCCGGGGGTGGTGCATGTTCTTTTGTGCCCCGCATCATCACCACTCAGGAGGGAAAGAAGCACACAGAAACAATTTCTGGGAGCCCCATTTCTGCTTCACGGGAGCGATCTGACGTCGGAGGCCCGGCTTCCGTTCCTCCTCCCTCTCCCAGCCTCCTCCTCCTCCTCCTCCTCCTTCTCCTCCTCCTCCTGCCCTTCCCTTGGAGAGGGAGGGGGTGAGAGAGGTGGGGGTGGTGCACGCCCTTGTGCCCCACATCGTATCACCACTGGGAGCCTCTTTTCCTCGTACTCGATCCTGGTGTAGTCTTCAGTCGGGCCTGTCCCCTCTGCAGGGGGAATGTCCAAAAATAGTCAGAAAATCATAGTCCCGGGACGATTTGTTGACCACTTCTGACTATTTGAGGGCAGTTTTCTGTATTTTTTGGTTTTTGTTCGTCCAAAATCGGCCTGTGGGGGGACAGGCCAGACCTAAGTGTAGTCCCTGCGATGTCCTCGCGCCTGGTTCCTGTCTTGGTGTCTTGGTCGGCCCAGATCAGTAGGTCGACCCTGCCAGATCAAGGGTACTGTGTCTCGCGACCCACACTTCCGACCTTCCTGTGGCAGTGTGGCCCTCGGAAGGGCCTCGTGCCCTTTCGCGTGCCCTGTCCAATCGAGTCCGACGGTAGTCCCTGCGACGTCTTCGGGCCTGGTTCCTGCCGTGGCCGGGCCCTCTCGCCGCCGTGCCTGCTCGGGCCCTCGCCTCGCCGCTCGCCTCTTGCGGGCCCTCGTCCTGTCGCCCCCGCCGCCGTGGCGATCTCAAGTGGGAGTCAGCGCTTGACCCTAACAGGAGAAGGAGGAGGAGGAGGACGAGGAGGAGGAGGAGGAGGAGGAGGAGGAGGAGAACGAGGAGGAGGAGAACGAGGAGGAGGACAAGGAGGAGGAAGGACAACGAGAGGGTGGAATGAGCAGGACGAGGGGACATGAGAAGGAGGAGGAGGCCTCATCTTCCCCCTGGGCCCAGATAGACCATCTCCCCGCCCTCGATCCCCCTTCCCCTGCCTCCCTTGGCACCCCACAAGGTGACCTGCTCAGTCCGCGGCCCCTGAGCTCCCGGCCCCCGTCCCAGGGGCAAGTCTTCCGTCCTGGATGCAAGTCTGGTGGCCCCGAGGGGCCCCTGCACGGGCTCCGCGGAGGCCGAGGTCGAGGGAAGCGTTCCAGATCGAGCAGAATCATATGGTTAAGTCGGGCCTGTCCCTCTACAGGAGGACTATTCAAGAATAGTCAAAACATGGTCTGGGGATGTTTTTGTAGTGGTTGACCCTGTTGGGGTATTTGTTGACTATTGTTAACTTTTCGCACCAAGTCCCCCTGTAGGGAGACAGGCCCGACTTAATCATATGGTGGGAAGTCTGAGTCCCTCCTCGCCCTCCGTCCTTCCTCCCCTCTGGTCCTGGGGCAACGGTAAGGGGGGGTATAATTAGAGGCCTAGGGTTAAGTCGGGCGTGTCCCTCTACAGGAGGAATATTCAAGAATAGTCAAAAATAGTATGGGGATTAAGTTGGGGCATTGTTTGAATGTTTTTTATCGTTCGTCCAAAATGCGCCTGTAGGGGGAACATGCCCGACCTAAGCCTAGGGGGGGGGATGCATCGACCCGCCCATTGATCGCCGATAGGGGCCCCATAGCCCCAACCTGGCCAGGAACGTTCGGAGTCGCTATCAGGGGCCACTCGCCGATCTATTATATCGTCGACTCCAGGTCGATGTGTCCGTATGCCAGTCCCCTTCTATCGTTGCGCCCCCCCCCCTCGTTCGCGGCGCCGAGGGAGAGATGGCCGTCGAAAATATGCACATCAGCAGAGATCTGGATCCTTCCTCGCCCTCCCTCTGTTTACGAGGTCTCCTCCCGCAAAGCTGGGCCCGCGCTTCTCAACCAACCTGCTGGAAAGCTGGCCAAGTTTCTTGAGCACGTTTGCCGCTCGCTTCTGTGTTTTATCACTGGTATCCAGTCCGACTGTTGTTGGTCCTTCAAAGCGGCGCTGCCGCTGCAGCGCGAACCTCCTTTTAGGATTGGCGCGTGGCTCCCGCCATTCTGAGTGGCACTCTCGTCCCAGCGCGGGTCGCTTTTTGGGTCCGAGTCCTTCCTCATCGTCGTCGCCCGCTCCTTTCCCTTCCTCCGCCCTCCCATGGTCCTCCTGCTCCTTCCTCTCTTTCCACTTCAGCCCCTGTTGTTGCTCTTCGTCCTCGTCATCATATTCCTCATTTGCCTCCTGCCCCTGTTCCTCCACATCCGCCACCTCCCCCAATGTACGCAGCTCCCCTTTCCCGATTGCGCACACTCACATGATGACGTTCTTTTTGAGTTTCAGGGCCGCTATGACACGCGTCGGCGGAAGGACAAGTCATGGGCGGGAGGGATAGGATGTTGGATATGGTGTGAGCGCACCTAGCTTGCCCCCGCCCCCCCGCTTGCGGCGCTGAGTGAGACGGCCGGCTGACCAGACTCACATCGTTGAAGGTTCGTGTCTTTCCTCGATCTCCCTCCTCCCCCCCCGTCGCCCGCGGCGCTGGGAGAGACGGCCGGTCGACAATAACCACATCACTGGAGATCCCCGGACCCCCAGCGTCTTCAGTTGCCCCGACACGCCCGTTTTGAAGCGCAAGACGAAACACGTTCAAAGCGTCCGTGTCCATATCCGTTGCGTGTGGGCTCGGCACGCGTGGGCCCACGTCTCGGCGAACGCATCGCGCCAGGCCTGCGTGTTCGGTCTGCGCCGTTGCCCTCCGCATGCATGCGCCACGTATCGCGCGTTGCGCAGCGAGGCAGCCAAACCCCGACGTCACGAGTCTGTTCACAGCGTCTCGGGCCGGGCGAGATAGGGGGGCCTAGCAGAGGGGGGATTTGGGAATCGGCTCGCGTAGCTGATTTTCGTGGCGCCTCCCGGCGCCAGGAGGCGCCAATGTGTCGAGGAATGGGCCCGGCGGCGGGGCCGAAGCCGGCTGCGTGCGGCAGATATTTTGCAGCCCCCCCTTTCCCTATCCCCCCCCGTTCGTTCGGCCCGAGCGTCGACCCCCCTCGGGTCTCGAGCCATTGCCTGGGGCCGGCTCTTCATCCCGAGTGGTTTGGGTGACGGCCCCTGGGCCCGGCGCCAGGGCCCCTCGACGGGTCGGGGCCCAAGGGGCAGGGGACAGTGCAGACGGGGGTCGGTCAGAGCGCCGGAGGTTGCAGGATTCAAGCGGTGGCGAAACCTCCTGGCTCGCCTGTAGCCCTACCAAACAATTTTCTAAGAACCTGTGGTGGTTTCCACGAAATGCTCTTAGAACAGTTCTGATCTGGTTGGGACTGTCCTGTTTTAACGCATGAGGCTTCTGTCCTAAGAACATTGTTTTTGTTCTTAGAACATTTGAGGGTTCTAAGAACATTTCGTGATATAGTTATAGGAATGCAGGGACGGTCGGTCCCTGCTCAAAAGAGACGGGGTCTGTGCAGACGGGGGTCGGTCAGAGCGCCGGAGGTTGCAGGATCCTGCAGAGCCAGGGGTTCATTGACCCGTGCTTGCGTGCAGGATCTTGCAGTGCCCGACTGGCCCAGGTTTGAATTGACCCAGGTCAGAAGATCCCCGAATCGGGCGGGTGGTATTGGGGGGTGACTTCAACGGGGATCAAGGAAAGAGCCTCTCAGGGGCTCTTTAGGGCGCGTTTAGAGCCCCCATCGCCATTAGCCATTACCATTATTGTCGGACCGAGGTATAAGATCGAGGTCGGTTCGGGGAGGGTACCATAGAGTTCTTCGTGTTCATTGGATGTTTTTGTGCATCCTGGGGGAGCACACTCTCAAATGTTCTTCAGTCTGGCCAGCGGAGGGTCTCATGTCCTTGACGGATGTTATCTTGTCCCAGGTCCGTCCGTACCATTACCATTACCGTTACCCCACAAGGTCACCCCCCATTTTTCCACCCGCCCGGCCACCGAAATTGGCGAAACATTTCCCAGTCTGTGTGTTTCACGGCTCTTGCCTGCGGCCGCCCGTTCCT